ATTTACTAAAAATATATATAAAAAGAAATTATGTTATGAAAATCTAATATAGTTTATTAATAGTCTATCCCTTCTGCTAACAAACACACACACAAACCTTATATTAAAGAATGTCCGGGGCAACAGATTACTCACTAGGGAGAAATTGTCTTTTCAAATTAAATTTAAACAGGTTTGGGCTCTTTCTTTAAAAAATCTGACAGATAAAAATGATTAATAACCATTTTATTTGAACACCATGTGTGAGTTTGTGCTTTAATTACATAATCAACATTTGCCTATATCAGGAAACTAGATTTTTGGCAAAGTACTCCAATATCAGCGTGAATCTTTTCAGCATCTAAGATAATAATTCACCATAAGGAAATGCTCACTGAGACGCAACATCCCCCCACCCTTACTAATGTATGCAAATTTTATCTACATCAACTAACATGAGAGTTGGTACCGGTAATATACTGAGCTCAGATGACAGTTTTGAGCGATTGTTAGATTGATAAATAATTTGGCTGCAAAACAACATGGCAGTTTTCTAGGTTAAGAAAATATAATAGATACCAATATCAGGTGCTCAGTTTGCACAGCAAAACAAATGAAAGAGAAACAAACCAATGAGCAATTCTGCCCTCTCCCTATCCTTTCCTCCACTGTCTTTCACATTCTTCCCACCATCAACAACCCTCTACTTACTATCTGTACATAGTATAAGCAGGCAGCGCAGTGTGTTAACTGCAGCATTGTTGTTGAATGTGCCAGTTACATACATATGTCCAGTAAACACACACCTCCTGTGCTAATGGACATACCTGACATACTCTGATATTCTGTTGATTTCAACGGAATAGAGCACAGAGTATTTCATGATTCTGTTTAGTCCCAGTGTCATAGAGGCAGGAGTGTTTCTATTATCCTTTCAATACATTTATTATTAAAGGCACTTCTGTGTTTCCCTGTTATCTAATGAGGAGTCTTCAAAAGGAGAAACAATTCAACAAGGAAGCTGTTTTCACTGATTTTTCCCCAATCCATACTTTCTTGCAGTTTTATCCTTTTTTAAGATAAAAGGTTGAGATTATGGCCACATAACAAAATAGAGCACACCACCTCACGTCCCTCTTCCTCATTGCTGGATACCTTTGGAATACTATTTTCAGGAAGGAACATGGCACACTGATTGTGTAAAATCATTGTTAAAGAGGTAATCAGCCAGCAGATGGGTCTGAATACAGAAGAGCTGGAATCCTCCTCCACACCCAGACAACAAGCAATATACTTCGGAGTGATGTACACCTAGTATCTATTGTCTCTAGAGAATAGAAGTCCTAAAGCTATTCTCAATCAGGATCTTCTGCAAACATGGAAAAGCAGACCCTTCTTTTAGCATCTCTCATGTATTAAAATAAACGGGGGACAGGGAATTGTGACAGCAGTCAGAAGACGAATTTGGTATGCACTTATCACAAGAGTGGGGAGGAGGAAGCTTCCATGTGACATATAAGTCTAACACATTTCATTTTTTTTTTGCTTTTAAAAAAATTGTTTTTTTAGAGAAATCAATTTCAAATATCAAAACTAAAATGGGTTACATTACAAAGATGATGTTTATTGCCAGAAGGTTTACTTATGATTATCTTGACTATCTGAGGCTGAAAGAACTTGAAAATATGCTTTAAAAATAAATGCCTCAGTTGTCAGTGAATTATTTTGAAGTGCAGATATTTTGCCAGCTGACATCCAGAAAACCAAAGCTGTTTTAATGTGACATTAAAGAATAAAAGCAAGTCTCCACATGAGATCATTCCATTTCAGTACACTACTTAATACATGACATGTTCAAACTATGAAAGACATAACATGGAATCAGTCAAGGAAAATCTGAAAAGATGATCGTGGTTATCCGTGCATATAATTATAGGTATCCTAAAACTAAAAAGGACTTCTCTATCCTGTAAGAAGATGGAGAATGAAAAGAATTGGAGGGTTTTAGTTCCCACTGAAATGCAGAATGCCCATCTCTCAGTAGGATTAATAAAACAAACCCTGAAGACTTGGGGCTCAGGCACATATTATGGTAATTCATGCATAGATGTGAGGGTGAAAGTTTAACTCTTAACGGCTGACAATATATTCATATTGAACCACACTCAGTAGATTTCAACCAGCATATTCTAATCAAAGGTGGTTTTATTCATTTGTGCTTAAGGTTTCAGTGGATGAACTAGTTTTGCCTGTCTACAAAATGAAAATAGAGAAAAGGAGCAACTAAAATAGAGCAGCAGTCGTGCTCTTTAAAATGTTAAGTAGAGGATATGTAAGACCACTGTCAACGCCTGGTAACTTCAGTGAACCCATTAGAGAACTACAAAACTAAATTGTAGAGCTTTAGATTCCATTTTAATTTAGATTTTATTTTTTATGCTTTTATTGTGGAAGACTGTCTTGACCTGGATAGGGACACACATCATATAAGACCATGTGTTTTTAATAGTGATGGCAATGTAATATTTCAGGAGTCAGTTTGGCTGAAATGAATATAACATTTTGCCAGATATCACAGAAGATTTTTTTTTGTTAAGGTGTATTCTCCAACTTCACTTGAAGATCACAGAGTATGGACGATTACTCACCTATAACTGATGTACTCTAAGTATATTGCCTCTGCAAATCAGTAGTGACCATTGGGACAATGTGAACACTAATGTTGTGTTGATATGAACATTTGATGCTGCTTCCCCAGTACACTCCAGTTCATTTCCATTGTATAAAATACCAACTAAGGACTTTGAAGTGGCAGGGAAGAAAGATGAGAGAGTGTGAATGTGTTAAGAACTATGGGTGAATGGGACTTCAACTCTGAAACTTTGGGGGTTTTCCCAACATTGGGTTTGGGTATATTTTTGCAAAGTTTATGCTTGTTTTGTGCTTGTTTCTGTGAAAAATTATCACATTCATGCACAATCACAGTCCAATATATGGGACAGACAACACAGGGTTAAGTGGGGGTTTTGTTTGTCTCACTTAGTTTTATTAAAATCCTACTCTTAGTCTGACAGAAGATGAGGAATGAAATCCTGGACCCAGTAAGTCAATGGTAAAACTCTCATTTGACTTTAATGGGCCATGATTTCACCCAAGATTTCTAAGACGAGCCAAAAACTAACAAATGAAAGCCCACCACCACAATTAAAATACTCACATGAAAAACCTAAAATTCATCATAATTCATATGCAACTTTCTGGTGACTGAGGACACAGCGGTCCCAAATACCTATTTTTATGGATAATTGGCCTTTGAAATACTTTTTTACGTATTGGCGATTATGAAGGTTAAGATGGAAATCCTCATGTTCATAAATAAAGCAAAGAAATCAAAAAAGGGTTATTTTCATAAATGATTTCATGCAACATTAGTTTAATTCAGTGTAGACAGACCACTATATGCATAATGCTTATTGTAATCAGCTACTGCATATACTTCACATTTTAGCTTACAATATTACAAAATTACATTATTTGCTAATCTTTACCTGGAATTCTGCTTTCTGTAACTGGATCATTCAGCTAAATATCCTCAAAGTCAAATATTTTTCAGAACCTACAGAGGTCCACCCAGTTCCTCCCCCACATAGCTATTCTTCTTTCCACTAGGTCACGGATTTTCCCTTATGATCTATTTTCTTTGTAGAGGGTAGCCATACAGGCATGTTCTACCTGAGAGATCTCTTCCCACCGCTTGAGGTTACCACATACTAGTTACTTTCAGTTATGGCTTCCACTACTGTCTCCTTGTATGCATTTGCCTCTATAGATTCTGCAGTACAAAAATCTAGCTCATTGTTTTCCTAAGGGATACATGTTACTTGCAGTGGGGGAGGTTTAGGTTGGATATTAGGAAAAACTTTTTCACTAGGAGGGTGGTGAAACACTGGAATGCGTTACCTAGGGAGGTGGTGAAATCTCCTTCCTTAGAAGTTTTTAAGGTCAGGCTTGACAAAGCCCTGGCTGGGATGATTTAGTTGGGGATTGGTCCTGCTTTGAGCAGGGGGTTGGACTAGATGATCTCCTGAGGTCCCTTTCAACCCTAATATTCTATGATTCTATGATACATACAGCTGAAATGTAAATTATACATATATATATATAAAAATAATAATGCTAAAACTGTGGTAATAAAATGTAATCTAGTTTACCTTTTTCACATAATGTCCATATAATTCTTTGGTAACCTTCCCCCAAAACAAATATTGAAATGATTATTTAAAAAAATCCATGCCAAGAGTGTTTACAGTAACAATATTCCTCCATACAGTGGCCAACTACAATTTACACGTGATGCCAGTACAGTGAACACCATTTCTTATAGAGAGCTTTTCATCCATAGATTTCAAAGCTCTTTACAAAGGAAAGTAAGTATCATCATAAATAAGAGAGTGGGTTTTTTTTTAAATGAAAGATACCTGACCCAATCTGGCAAATTCAACACAAATTCATGAGACACTGTCAGGTTAAAAATGTTGATCTCTGTGTTACTAAACAATAACTGAAATTATTAGAATTTAAAGTACTTTTTAAAATTTAATTTACTTTTCAGCATTAATACTGTTTACTTTTTGCTTTCCAATCAATGTGAACAATTAAAATATACTAATCACTTTCATATTTATTGATAGGCATTGTCTTCTGTTTCTGTTAAACACTGCTTTATTTTGGTTGCAAACAATACAGAAGGATAGTTAAACTCCAAACGAAAATTATTTAATTGGAATGATCAATGACTAAATCACTGAAAGCTTTTGCATCAATAATAGGGTTTTTTAAAAACAATTTTTAAATTATTTTACATTTTAGATTGATACTATGTATGTCCCTTAAAGATGCTAATATCGAATGCCATGCAACTGAAATAGAGGATAGTACTGACAATTTCCATTTCCATAATTTACCTTTGCTTTTGGTCCCCCAAACTAGTACATTTGTTTCCCCAAGTCAGTTGCCCATACCTGCTGTTTGAGAGCTTCTAGAGATTCAAATTCCAACCTGGCCAGTTTTATCTGGATATCCCGTGGTTTATCAGGAATCACAAACGCCATGACAAACTTCAATGCCAGTAGAATATGCTGGGGGAAAAAAACAAATTCAATACTCTATTATATAGTTCATGGCAAGTAAAGAAGAATAATACAAAAGCATTCTGCAAATTTTAATTCCAGGATGCCTAAAAATTATTTATTGTTAATTATGTGAGAAATAGTGATGGCATACTATGCCACGATTACTCCTGACTTTTCCAGCTCAACAATTATTTATACTTTGCAAATAAACACATATTTCTATTAGGTTTGTTTTTATTATAATCTTATATTTTCACTACGTACTGTATAATTCTTCTTTATTTATACATTTGTGATTCCTGATAAAAATCAAACTATTCAGGTTGATACTGACCTTATTGGAATTTGAATCTAGGATAAGAACTGTAGTACATAGTGAAAGCATAAGATGTATATGTCACAATAGATTTACATGACATAATACAATGGTAAAATGTGCCAAACAAAAATAAGTAACAGAGTTCCTGTCCCAGAAAGAGTATAATCTAAAAGTCCTTGTGGGTGGACTACAAAACAATACAACACAACAGGAGTCTGGATTTTACAGCTGGAATGATACACAGAAGCGGTGAACTGGCCAACATTAATTGAGAGGATATTCTAAATATAAGGAGTGGAAGGAATAGGCCAAATTAGCCATAATTATATAGCAAAGGATTATAGAAACATTTAACCCAACAAAGACCAGAAAATTCAAAGTTAAACTTAATCCTTGTTCATCACTCTTTATATTTGACCTAAAGATGCAGCACACCCATTAACGCTTGTTCAAAACAAGTCCCAAGTTTTCAAGACAGATGCTTATTTTGGGGGGGGGGCACACAGATGTTTGCACGAGCATCTAAGCTAGAGCCCCTCAAAATTTACCCTACTGAGGACTGGACTGGCAACTTGCCATGAGTCTGATGGCAGCAACTTAGCCTTGATTCAGAAAAGCATCTCTATACAGGGAAACTTAACTTTAAACACATGCTTAAGTCCCACTGACATCAATGGTACTTATACGCATGCTTTATATGGTATTTATATACATGTATGCCCAACTTTTTTCCTGAATCAGTGCTCTAACTGTCATAAAATGGAAAAGAGCACTGACTCATTTTTCTGAGAATACAAGTCCAAGAATTAAATGTTCCATCTTGATGCAGTTGGCTGCACAACACAAAACGCTAAGCATCAAGAGTAAAGATGTGGGATGGGAAGAGCTAGAAATAAATCACCTGGTATAACGCAATGGAGGTAAAGGACAGTGGAGAAATGGAAAGAAATACAAACCCACATAATGGTCATGTGGACTATGCAGCAATAAACATATTTTAACTATAAACAGGCGAATACTGATAGAAAAAAGAAGAGGTAATGGTAATGATTAAGACAATACCAAAAGTTAAAAATGAGCCACATACAAATTATACAAAATCAAATACAGAAAAAGAGTGAATACATTTAGGGAATGAAACTTACAGTCTAAGAAATAATAATTAATCCAAAGAGGATAAAGAAAGGCTGACATAGAATTTAATGTAAATACAACATTTATTAAAAACTGTACATACAAAGTTAGAGATTAAAGAAGGAGTCAGCACATCAGCTAAGACATGGCAAAGAAAATATTTATTTATTTCGACTTGTGCAATCCCATTATCCTTGACAGTAAACACAAGCAATTCAATCCTTAATACCACATTACAAAAAAATTCTACTTTGACATCATGTCAACACTGAAACACTCCCTAAAGGCACAAAATTTTCCCCTTTTCCCACTCAACATGGCAGAATCTATTCCTGAGAAAGCCTAAGTAAACACATAGGTCTGCTGACAGAGGAGGTACATATTGCTAAAAATATCATTTTTTTCCCCTAACAAGTTTACAAAGAAGAATGAGGGACAATGCCTTCCATGGAAAGATGAAATACTGAAGGAGGATAGGATCAGCTAGAACAAGAATTAAGAGAGACAATACTCTAGAGCGGGATAAAATCCATTCCAGTACTCAGATGTGACAAGAGATACATGGGGAACATTCAACTCATATCTAAAACCATTTTTTTGGATACAGGAGAGTTACCAAGGAAGATGCAGACTTAAAATCTTAATAGCAGCAATAGGAAACACACTTGAAAAAAAACAGGGATCAAACATAATACAGTAAAAGCTGTGTTATCCAGCCCTGTACCAACCGGAAAGCTCTATAAACCGGCATTTCTAATCTTCATAGAAAGTCCGGTTTACAGTGCAGTTGGCACGGGGTCGGAAGGCTCCTTATCTGACTCCACATGGCTCCCCAGAAGCAGTGACATGTTCCTGCTACTCCTAGGTGGAGGAACGACCAGGAGGGGTTCAGAGTGCGGGCAGGGGTGTGGGGCACAGGCTCTGGGAGGGACTTTGGGTGTGGGAGGGGGCTCAGGGCAGGGGCTTGGGGTGTGGCAGGTGACTCTGTGCGCTGCCTCCGCCTGAAGGTGCTGCCCCCCGCAGCTTCCATTGGCCACAGTTCCTGGCCAATGCGAGCTGCAGAATCAGCGCTTGGGGTCGGGCAGGGGCAGTGCAGAGAGCTGCCTGCTGTGCCTCTGCCTAGGAGCAGCAGGGACAGTTCGCCGCTTGCAGGGAGACACCGGAGGTGAGGGCCCCCTGGATTCAGCACCCAAAACCCCTCCCGTGCCCGAACCCCCTGCTCAAGCCCCCTCCCACACCCTAACTCCCTCCCAGAGCCCGCGTCCTGCACCCCCTCCCGCATCCAAACTCCCTCCCTCTTAATTAACCGGAATTTTTCACTTACCGGCACCCCCCATTTCCCCAACATGCCGGGAAAAAAGCTTTTACTGTATGTAATCAATTAGCTAACAGCACTGGGCTAAATTTTGTTCTCAGTTATACTGGTGTAACCTGGAGAAATTGAGTGCAAAGTTACAAAGATCATACCTAAATTTGACCACCATATTTTTAAATACAAAAAAATGTATCAGCAGATGAATCCTTTAATAAATGTAAATGGGTTTATAGTCTAAAAATTTCACAAATGCATTTTTACAAGGACCTTTAGAATTCATACCTGAGGAAAAAGGTTATTCCTCAAAACTGGAAGACTAAGTACTACTAACTAATGTATTATCTATTTTATATTATATAATATAAAACATATGAACTTGATAGGACAGTATGCATAGCAGTTTCTGTTTAGATAGTGTCTTTTTTTCATTTATAGATCATGGATGATCATTGAGATCATCTAGTCTGATCTCCTGTATAACATAGGGCACAGAATTTAGTAGCATTTAGTAGTAATTTAGTAGAATTTCCTCTTAAAAACAAACAAACGAACAAAAATAGTGACAGTCCAGAGAATAAGATTATTATATCAGTTTCCCAACCTGAGGAAATGAGACACCCCGGAAGGCTACTTTTTTTGAGGGTGCAGGAGATTGGGGTAGAGGAAAGTAGTGGAAGACGAAAAGCTCCACAGCCATGGATTTTCTGCCACTAACACTCCACACATGGTCTAACCAACCTGCTTCCAAAGCTACAGATAAAGCAGCAGGAGGTTCCTTCAATTTACGTGTACAGCTGCAGGTTCATGGCACTTACGCAGCCAGGCCCAAACTACCAGAGGATGTTCCACACCATGAGCAGCAAGTAGTCATAGATTCACAGACTTTAAGGACAGAAAGGATGTCTATAAACATCTAGTCAGACATCCTGCATAACACAGGCCAAAACCCCCTCACCAGTAATTTCTGTATCAAACCCATAATGTCTCTTCAAGCTATAGTATATCTTTTAAAAATAAATTCAATCTTGATTTAAAGACTTTAAGTGATGAAGACTCCATCACATCCCTATGTAAGTTGTTCCAATTGTCAATTACCCTCACTATTAAAAAATTGTACCTTATTTCTAGTCTGAATTTGTCTGGCTTCATCTTCCAGTCACTGGATAACATCTTTTCCAGCTAGATCAACAAACCGGCTCCTACCAGAAATTTCTTCTCTAGGTAAGTATTTATAGACCATAATCAAGTTAACTCTTAACCTTCTCCTGGATAAACTAAATAGATTGGGCTTCATTAGTCTTTCACTATAAGGCATTTTTCCAAAACTTGACTAATTCTTTTGGCTCTTTTCTGAACCACTTCAAGCTTGTCAACAACCTTTTTGAAGCGTGAGCATCAGAACAGGACACAATATTCCAGCAATGGGCTCACTAATGCCACATGCACAGGTAATCTCTACTTCCACTCAATATTCTCCTGCTTATACATCCAAGGACCGTATTCACCCTCTTAGCTACTGCATAACACCGAGCGCTCATGATTAACTGGTTATTTACCATGAGCCCTAAATCCTATTCAGAGTCACTGCTGTCCAAGAGACAGTCCCCCATCTTATAAGTGTGACTTATATTTTTTGCTCTTAGATGTATGACTTCACATTTGGATGTGTTAAAATGCATGTTTTTCATGTGTTTTAGTTTCGGGGGGACGTGGGACAGAAAAGTGGGAGCAACCTAGGAGGCAAAAGGGTGAACAAGAAAAAAAGAGAAAGAGAAGGTTATCAGAAAAAGAACTCATGGAGCTAGGGGACATTGATGGATGCGGGCAGGGGATTTATTTGCAAGAATTACCATTTCAGTAAAAAAGTTTGGGCACCAGCAGGGCTAACCTTTGGGTGCCTGAATCCAATTGCTGTAAACTCCTAGCCATTTCCTTGTGAAAACAGCCTTGAAAACCTAAACCACCAGCAGCTAACTACACTTCCACAGCAGGAAGCTGAGACGTAACCTAAATTTCCTCTCTTAGAGTCTGCTCACTTTTTATGTAAATATGTAAATTAAGTTTGAGGGGTCGCCAAAGACTAATCTCATAGTGATTTGATGAGGGAGGATAGGAATTGATTAGTGGGCTTTATAGACTCAGACTTTAAGGTCAGAACGGACCATCATCTAGTCTGACCTCCTATACATTGCAGGTCACAGAACCTCACTCCACGCTTACTCCCTAACCTCTGTCTGA